GTTTTATTATTTATCTTTTATCTCTTTAAAATAAAACAAATGCACTACACAGAGAAGAAGGTGAGGTAATGATGGAGGCAGATTGGAGTCTTGCAGCTGCAAGCCAAGGAACACCAAGGATTGCCAGCAGGCAGCACAAGCTAAGAAAATGGCATGTAATTGCTTCTCCCCAGGGACCCCCAGAATGACGAATGACCTAGCTCCCTAGTCCCCTGCCAAGACTTTCATTTTGTATTTCTAGCCTCCATTATTGTCTTAGTCACTTTCTTCTTGCAGAGAAAAAATGCCAGGTAGTTTTATTTTCTTCTTTCCCATGTTTGTCTTCCATATCATGAATTTCCTTTATTATTTGTCAGTTTTATTGGCTTGTCTTGTTTTGGCCTCCCTTTATCTCCAATCCAATATAGGGTTATTGTTGGTTGGTGAATTGCCATTACACTTACACATTCTCAGCTACAGAAATATCCTGTGGGAGGGCTTGGTGACCCCTTGAACCCAGTGGGAAATGACCTTGGGCTAAAGTTTCATTGATTATCTAGACTCTGTAATCCCCAATTCTGGCCAGTGGACCATGATGACATTTTACATATCTAAGAACTAACATAAATTCTAGCCAGAATCTTGAAATTTTTTATTATTTTGCATTTCCTAATGTATAATCATCCTAACACATGATCTGGGGAAAAGACTGCGAGAAAGATGAACAGCATACATCTTTCTAATGTTGTAAGGTCTTTGTCCATACTCAAGGAGGCAGCCATTCAAGGATCCTTAGTGTGTACAGATTTGTCTTGAAATTATCGCAGAGGCCAAGACTGTTGATTTAAATTGAACTTCTGTTCATTATACATAGAACTCTTCCATTTACATGGAAGAAGTGTAAGAGTTAGTGGAAGTTACATATATTCTTTGCCAGGGGAACCATTAGCCAATGCTGTAGGTCTCTGAGAGCCAGACAAGTGTGTTTAGAGTTGTGATTTTTCCACTCCACTATGATACCACTTAGCCACCATGTCAGTTAAAGTCTACTGAGTCTAGCTCTGGGGTGAGGCAGAACATTGTACTAAGGAGTATGCGGTAGAGAAAACTGCTCACTTCATGGGGGCCAGGAAGCAGAAGGAGAGAGTAAAAGGATGAGGGCCCAATATGTCCTTCAGGGATCCTCTCGAGTGACTTATTTTCTCCTACTGGGCCCCAGCTCTTAATTTTTTCGTCATGCCCTCATAGCACTACAAGGCCTTGGGCAATCAATAATGAACACTTGAATTTGCTGTTTAATCTGTTGCCTTTTATTTTATTTCCAAATGTTTTTAGTTCCAAAGGCATAAGAATAAGAAGCTGACTATGAATTTACTTGGTTTGAATTCCATCCTATATATTTCTTTGCTTCTTCATATATAATTAATTATGAATATGAAAGATGCTTATTTAGCAATAATTTGTTGATCTAGCACAGTAGAGAAATCACCCAACCAGATTATGAAACAACACAATCATAACTATCACCATAAAACAACGTGGATACCTAAGCCATGCCCTTACCTCAGATATATCACAGCAGTCTCCATAGAGCCTTGGGAGCCTTGGAGTGGGCGTATGGTCTATGGACACTGATTTGGAGCAACTTTGTTCAGAGCTCTCCTCAATAACTGTATGGTACACTCAGGGAGCCATATTTTGGATATATTTCTGTGAGGGAAGTATATCCATCTTTAAGATTTGAAATGCCTAACCATTCTTAAAGTTAGCCCAGGGGCCATTTGCAGGCCAGATCATAAGGACATTCTTTGTTATTGTAGCTGCTGGATCAGGGTTCAAAGAGCTTTGAATGCTGGGGAACTGACAGAGCATGACACACTGCTGGATCTCCTGCTTCCTTGATTCTTACTGTGGGAAGAAGTTATTTTAATGTGTATGATGCTTGGTGTCTACAGAGCCTGTCAATTTTCCAGCACGGTTTCCTCTCCTCTCCTCTCCTCTCCTCTCCTCTCCTCTCCTCTCC